TCAATAGCAATGGGTGAGGCAAGGAGCACTGCTTTATGTCTGCACTAACTTCCTAATTTTCTAGCTTCATGATGACATATCTTTGCTGATGTAGTGGAAATTATGTCAATTAGCGATTTATCAGCCTCACTGGCAGGGATGTTGCTCTGCACAGGTCTCCCCGGCAAGTTCTTAGATCTCCTGTCATAACCATTAAGACCTGGCAAAATGACAACTCCAAGTATTCTTACCATATGTCACATGTATGTGCACATTAGAGGAACACACATTTATTTATTTTTCTTATATGATTAGTCCTAGCTCACTACACAGACAAACATACAGTATCTTACATGCTTACACTGGATATCTTGTTTGAAATTTATTCAGCAATAGGTCCTGATTGTTATTTGAAATCATGAGCTCTGTGTAGAGGATGGTTACCCCTGACACACACAATGCTCCCTCTTTTCAGCTGGATCCTTCTGCCAGTGAGCTGAACTCCAACGATGCCTTTGTCCTGAAAACTCCCTCAGCTGCTTACCTTTGGGTTGGTCAAGGAGCCAGCGATGCTGAGAAATCAGGAGCACAAGAGCTGCTGAAGATTCTGGGAGCTCGCCCAGTACAGATTTCTGAGGGCAGAGAGCCAGGTGAGGAAAACACAACTGAGTCTGAAATTATTTTCATATAGCTGCACTTCGGTGCTGATTGTTTTATTTATATTTTGTCTGTGAACAAGACGTGGCCATAGGCACAGAACAGCTCCTCCAAGCTATCTGCATAGGCCCTTTCTAAGTGCAAACTGCATGACCTGAACAATTCTGCTCTGTGGAGCCTTCAGGTCCTATCCAACCCACTTGGCTACTACTGCTTTGCATCCCAGGTATACTTGGATCATCAGTATCTTGTTTCCCTTCACAGATAATTTCTGGGCAGCTTTGGGTGGAAAAACTGCTTACCGTACGTCTCCGCGGCTGAAGGACAAGAAGATGGATGCTCACCCCCCTCGCCTCTTTGCGTGCTCCAACAAGAGCGGGCGCTTCACTGTGAGTGTCTGCGGAGATACGGAACACACCATCCACCTGGCAGGAACTCAGGCCCAGTGCGCTCCTGAGTCAGCCAAGGGGCAGTTGCCTTCTGGTGCAGTGCTTCCTCCAGAAGGAAGGCATCAGCACCACCTTTCTGTAGAGCAGCTAGCTCAATAACACTGTTAGCAGCATAACTTTCTGGTCCTCCCTTCATTAACAACTAGCATTTAAACTCCACTGATTTTGGCTCAGAAATCTTTCAAGTAAGAAGAGGCAGCATTAAGTATCTTGTACATGAGCGAAAGACTTGATGAGATTCACAGAAGGTGGTGCTAGAACCTGTGTGAATCACATTTTTCCTGCTGAGCTAAAAATAGTGCTTGGAGTACGTGCTTATCTTATAGCCTTGTTTTCCAGATTGAAGAAGTTCCAGGAGATCTGATTCAGGAAGACCTTGCTACAGATGATGTTATGATCCTTGACACCTATGACCAGGTACGTCATGCTTACTCAGTGAGGACGGAAGCAAGGAATAAGCAATAGTTGGCTCTAGAGACCTAAATTACAACAGTTAGTAAAGTTAGCATCTTAGCACCAGCCCTGAGAACAAATCATTTCTCTAATGACACTGAAGAGAATTTGCAACAAGGATTTGAGAAAAATAGTTGGTGTTCTGTCACTTCTTTTGGTTAGTCAGTTTACAAGCTGAAGAAAACAGACTTTTCTGGCTACTAAGTGTCTGTGGACTTGTGAACAGCAGCAGCCCTGGCCTGGCCTGGCTGCAGGCAGTTGACAACTGTTGTTAGGATTCAGTAGTTGAAGAAAGTGACACTTCTATTGCTGACAACAAAGGGCTTATAAGTGGCTGTTCATAACCAGACAAAAGTCAATTTACAAAGATGAATGTTGTATCCCTTCTGTGTAAAAATGTTCAAAAATGAGCTAGTTCTTCCTAATGTTAAGTGTATAATTTGTTCATATATCTAGAATTTAATTCAGATAAACTGCAGTGGAAAAACTTCTTGCTGGCTACAGTAGCTCTAGTCACTTAATTCAGGCATATCTGAACAAAAGGTAAACTTTTGTATCGCACTTGTCTTTGCTTACTGAGTCTTTGCCTAACTTGTCTTTCTTTCATACATAAATTGTTGCTGAACCAATTCATATGACTTTTCTGTAGCTCTTTGTATGGATTGGAAAGGATGCCCAGGAAGAAGAAAAGACTGAGGCCTTGAAATCTGGTAATGCCATCACATTTTCCTCTTTGAAATAAACTTTTTTTTTTTTTTTTCCTTTTCTTGCTATCTAAGGCAGGTGATGTCATGCACTGAGAAAAATGGCATTTTACTGCTGAAGTTGTAATGGTTCTAGAAATACATTCATGCAACTTGCATGTGACAAGATGTGCAACTGTATCTATCCCTAATAGCTCTAATTAAGTGTTTCTCAGCTGTTGCTTTGTAAGAGTTGGTCTCAAGGGGCTTTTCTTCTCCTTGTATATTTACAGCTAAACGGTACATCGAAACGGATCCTGCGAGCCGAGATAAGAGGACTCCAATCACCCTCGTCAAGCAAGGGTTTGAGCCTCCCACCTTCTCGGGCTGGTTCCTGGGCTGGGATGATGACTACTGGTCTGTTGATCCTCTACAGCGAGCAATGGCAGATGTGGATGTCTAAGGCAAAAGGGAGGTTTTGGGGGAATTTTTTTTTTTTTAAATAGAGCAAGACTAGTGCCTTCAAGAGCTTCCTCCTCCTGCAGGAGGCACGTTAACAAGGCAGTGATTTTAATAGCCAATTAGCTGTGCAATAATTACCAAAACCAATCATGATCAGTCATACTGACCTCTCCGTGCTTTGATTATATTTAATACAATAAAGCTTGTATGGAATATGTGAAGACTAAAAATGTTGGGTGTGTTGTTGGGAGTAAAAGTTAAATAGAAGCAACAGAGACAGAATTTAAGTTTCTTGAAACAAAAACACCTTGAAAAGGACTGTACTGCCTTTGTGCCATTTTTTGAAAATATACTTTCTACCCCACCTGTTCACAGAAAGGATACTTTTATTTCCTAGGTTTGCTTTTTGCTCTTTTTTCCCACTTCAAAATTATCAGAAGCTTTTGAGACCATGGTAAGTTAACACTGCTCTAGTTCTTCAGGAAGGCAGGCAATAGTAAAGAGCTGGGTTTTTTTGATTCGAGATAAGAACAAAACGCATGCTGCTCCTGTCAACAAGAATTCACAGGGGTGGCTCTGCTCCAACAGCAGCAGTGGGAGTTTAAGATTCTCCTCTCTTCCCCCTGGATTAGTGTCAAGCTGTTGTTTTGTTTCCCATTGCAAGTAAATGAATACAGAACCACTAATTATTGCAGCCTGGGTAACCCTATTTCTCCCCCTTAAAAAAAAAATTCTAAGCTTATATTAACTGAAATACTGACACACATGCAGAGGGAGATAGTGCTTTTATAATGCAAAGGAAAATTAATTCACAGCACACAGTTAAACACACAGCAGCAACACTTAGCTCAAGCTCTTACAGTGTTCAGGCATCTTTTTTTCTAAATCTGGGGTCCGTTTGCCCCTTTTAATCAAGATACATTTAAACAGAACTTGTGGTTACTAAAAATAACAGCTGTAAGTTCAGAACTGATCACAGCAGAAGAGCGATTAAACACAAGATACAGACTTTATGCTGACCAGTGTGAGAACAAGGACACTTAATCACCTATCTTGCTTTTTTGCTTTCCTTTTTATCTCCCACTCAGTGCTGGTAGCTCCAGACTTTCCTCAAGACAGACTCTCATTCTTATCTCACTTTAATCTGTAATTTTGTCTGCTAAACTGCTGTCACAATTTGCATATGTTTAACAGATATGCACATTAAAACTATGGAAATGGAAACATTTTCTATCTTTGGTAAAACCAAGTACAAATCCCCAGCATTGCAACCAATAATGCAGGTCTGCAGTGGAGCAGCACCACCAGTTAAATAGTGACCACGCTGCTAGAATAGCCAGATAAGCAGCACAGCAGCTTGTGTTACCCATCCCTCCACCCAGTTTCAGATATTTCTTATTTGCCAGTTTAGACCCTGATAGAGAATTTCAACCATGACTAAAATCAAGGAAACCTATTTACAAGAGTCGTTACACTCTGGTCCCTTTTTCTCTTTTTTAGAAAAGACTTTTTAAAAGAGGCCCAGGTAAAGGCATACCCAGAGACCTTTCAGTGCTTTAAAGAGGCACAAATCTATATGGACAAACCACCCCCACAACACACAGTGATTGCAAGTGTATCGTGCCCATAACTACAGTGTGTCCATGCCACCCTGTGCTTTGAAACAGGGATGAAAAGTTACGTTTCAGTAATGTTGACGAATAACTTCTTGTAAATGGGAAACCATTTAGAAAGATGTGAGCATGATTTTCAGAAATTGCTAGTACTCTCTCCTACACCAACTTTGTTACATTAAGTAAAGCAAGCTAAAGGACCAACCCTTCTGACAATGATCAGAGGGCTGTCTGATATAGCTGCAATCCAAGAGAATATAGTTGGGACCTTTCCCTTTCCCTTACAGGGCCACAGGTCCTTTCATTAAAGGAAATACTTACCTCAAATTACACATGGCTTTGGAAAGTAGCCTCTTCCCAAATACTGGATCATCTCCTTATTCTCAAGCCCATTGGTTGTATAGACTATTTGAAAAGAGCAGGCTACAGATTATAGGTTTGTCATCCAGGGCACTATGAACTCGTGTTAAGATAACAATTTGCTTGTGCTAATTCTGGATAGATTTTGGATTTTAAATATTTTGATTGCCCACATCAACAAACATTAGATACAAGTTTCCTCATCTTATACTCAATAGAACAACAACAACAAAAAGGTATCTCAGAAGACCCACTTACGCTAACAAATGCCTTAAGCTTTAATACACAGACAATTCAGCTTTGCATACACTCTGTGGGAGGAAGGAAACCAAACCAACAAACATCATCTTTCCACCGCATCTAGCGATTTACACCTACGATGCCCTGCAGCATATCTATAGGCAAGGGAAAGACGATGGTGGAGTTCTTTTCTGCAGCAATGGTGGTCAAGGTCTGCAAATAACGAAGCTGAAGAGCAGCAGGTGACTCTGTAATAACCATGGATGCCTCTTTCAGGGCCCTGGAAGCGTTCATTTCACCCTCCGCTGCGATTACCTGAGGCACAAAATCAATGAAATTGTTTGCTATTGTGTCAGGTATCTTCTTTCTCTGATGCCTTCAGTCTTAAGTTATAAACCAAAAATATCACTCATTTCTCTGATCAAGTGACTTCCCTTTACTGTATTTTTCACTGGTTCTGTCCTTTTGTCATGCAGAAGCTACTTCTATTTCCTTTCAAGTCCCCATATACCTGTTCTTCCTCATATTCAGTATCAGGATGCCAGTTTACACATACACCCTCTGCCAATACACACACACACACACACACACAGTGTGGTTATTACCTTGGCTCTTGCCTCCCGGGCAGCTTCTGCCTCTGCAGCCATTGCTCTCTGCAGCTGGATAGGTAGTTTCACATCCTTGATCTCCACACGTTCCACCTTAATGCCCCAATTATCCGTTGCCTCATCAAGGGTGGCCTATTTAAGGTAATACAGTTAAACCATTCACCTGGGTGCAAACAAATGTCCAAATTTGAAGAAGGACTAAAGAAATGAATTACCTTACAATTTTTAGATTTTCTGTGTAAAGGCTTTAGTATTTACACTATGCTTTTATAATTATCCAAGCATGACTTAAGTGAACACTTTAAAACAAAGCTTAATTAGAAAGGGGCTCTGTGGCATCGTTCTCTTCAACAGTGCAGAGTACTGACTTACTAATCCAGAAAAGTCTTCTCCTGCACCCCTCTTCCCACTTGTCTCACTGGTACATATTTGTTTTATTCACTTATGTTGACTATGTAGAATGCCATCTCAATAGCTCTTTTGTTTTGAATCATAAAGCTTCTAAGTGAGAAGCCACATCCTCACCTATATGTTACCCAGGGGATGCTTAACTGATGATTCAGAGGATTGCTAAGGCCAGGTTCCTCATACCTGCATGCTGTGAGCGATCTCTTCGCGATCAGAGAGAATCTGAGAAAGGTTTTTGGTCCCCAGAACATTCCTCAGAGTGGTCTGTGCTAGCAGGCGCGTGGCAGAGTCAGCGTTTGTTATGTTTGCTACAGCAAGGGTGGCATTCTGGACTCTGTAATAAACCACTCCATCTACGTTAACTGTCACAGAGTCCTTGGTCAAGATCTAAAAAGCAATGAGGAAAAATATAAGATAATTAAGCAGAAAAATTATTGAATCTATTGTTTTACTGGACACAACCCTAATTTTCCCAGAGTAAAGTAACTGCGTTTAAAAAAAAAAAAAAAAAAAAGAAGAAAATTCCCACCGGAACACACATGATCTTTCATCAGGGGAACTTTGCTAGTTGCATGATAACAGCTGAGGTGTTTCAGCAAGACTTCTAATAGCAGACATACAGGAGGCAAGTTGACTGTACAGGAATTCGAGAGATGTGCACAATTAGGGACCAAGTCTCAAGAATGCTGAATAAACAACACAGGACTAACCCTCCAAAAATTATTTTGTTTAAATGCAGAGATATGGGGCCATTCCATTAAAAATGGGTTAAATCACACTCCCAAGTTAAAAATGCACAGTAGAAACACTGAAGAAAGGCTCATTCGATGTTTTCTTCAGAGAAAGAAGGTTAATGCTAGTAGTACCATTGCAAATCCAGGACACGAGATCCTCACTGCCGTTTAACTTTAGTCACAAGACTATTGACAATGCAAGATGTGCGTGTCCGGGTGCGTCAGTTTATAAAACAAGAGCAAAACAGGCAACCTATTTAAAAAGCAGGTGAGGAAAGATGAAGTGCATTTCAGCTGGGAGTTTCCCCTGGTGCAGGTGCCAAAGTTACTGAAGCAGCTCTCGGTTGCTGTTTATTCTGGGACAGGGAAGGAGGGGTGCCAGAGCCTCCACCACGGCAACAGCTGCGCAAGTCGCGTTTTAGAATTGCAGAAACTTTGTAAAAGGGAACTTGCTATATAATGCTCTACGGCAGAGTCCCAGTTTGTGACTAATTAATGTCCTGACATGCTGAAATCTGGCAAATACTTTCCCAGCTTCAGAAGAACACTGCTTGTAGGTATAGAATAAAAACATCTAATCCTCTCTTATTACTACAGGACATTACAGTCAGAAGCTTACTACAATCCACAGATAATTATATCCCATGTGACATAGCCACCCAAATAGAGCAAAAAGCACTCAGCTGCATGAATCCACTTATAAAGACAACATCTTAAGTTAAAAATAAAAAAGAAAGAAAAAAGAAGGAAATAAAAATCATTATGCAGTTTTACTTCCATGGCACTTGTTTGAAAGATGAGGATTAGGAGACGGTGGCATCTCTTGCTACCGAGATGGACTCTTTCCTCATTAGCTTGCTGAAAAAAATGTGTTTTTCCATGTTTTACATGCCAACAACAATAAAAGCAGAACTATAAGCTGTTCACATGGCAATCTAGCTATTTAACTGTCTCCTTTAATGAGCTAGCACAACACTGCTAAGGTATCAGTCTTACTCGGGCATTTAATTAGAAATCTCTCATATGATCCAGAAGCTTCCTGTCCTTCAGGGTACTTCCAGTTTAAATGCCACTGGATGCTATAACAGTATGTGGTGATTTCTTAGACAACTTGCAGAGGAAATCCAACTAGTGAACAACCTCAGGACAAGATTCAAGGGATTTACTGAACCTAACTCTTGTATATTAAGCAGAAGGTGTTCTTGCAAAGATAAAAACAGATTCTCTTGAAGGTTTAGAAGCAAAGTGACTAAAGGAAGAGGCTGTGCTAGAAGGAGGCTATCATTATTATTTTTGACTTAAAACAAACAAATAAAAGCCATATGACCACGGGAAAAGGTCAAGACTTATTTGCTTCAAAACTTACTTGCTTTGTGTTTCCTCAATCGATTGGTTTTGGCATGTTTTCACAATAGTGTAAGGTAAAACAAAATACATTGTACAGATCAAAATATATTTTTGCTCTTACCTATTGAAAACCAAACAAACCTAAACCCATATACGTAATTTAATCAAGTCAAAAAAAAATCTGTAGAACTGATGGGTTTGCTAATGGTGCATCAGGAGCAGCAATCCCATTATGTCTGCCAGTGATTAGGTTTCCTCCAATTACCCTTTAGACTACACTATGACAGTTACCATTTGTCTTAATCTGCAGCTAATGATGAGCCATGAACTGACTGGCAAATATGACAGAAAACAGATGCACCAGACAGGCTGCATCAAGTAGTTTTGCGTTTTTGCACCAGATACATGAAGGATACAGTTATAGTCATCAACACACAATTGTTTGAAAATTTCATTTTTTCAGAGGACTGTTTGTTTTTTATTCTTTTCTTATCTGGTGGGTCAGCATCATTTAATTCCAACTAGCTTAAGGCTGTTCAGAAATTCTGCTTAAAAACAGCTCTAAGAAAAACAGACGGGAAATATATTGGTTACCCTTTTTTGTATTTTTTTAGGGCACTGAAGCCACAGAGGATGTAAGATGGAGCACAGCTTCATAAAGCTGCTATGTGTAGCAGGACATAGAATGTATATACTAGACCCACGTAAACTGTAAGACAGTGGACCGTTAAAATGAGCTTCTATTAATAGCATTTGGTAATAATTTCATCCCATTATTTTAGCTAGTTAATATTTATCTAGATAAATTGACATGAGAAAGATCACTGCTTTTTTTCCAGATTTCACAGAAACAAAGACAGAATCAAGCATGAAGTCCAGCAGTCTTGATTCCAAATCACTCCCATTTCAACTATTAGGCAGGATTATCTTGCTTGTTCCTTAAAGGACAGCATAATTTGTTTTCTTTCAGGTATCATCTCTTACTGAACCTATATCTAGGCTATATTCTTCACAGTACATTGAATGTACAAATATAAAGCAAAAATCTACATGAAAACCACATGCTACCCAATACGGAGAGGGCGCAGGAAGAACAGACAAGCAGCAGCCTGCTAACGCTTCACACGCACCGCAAAGGAAGCGCACGCCTACCTCTTGCGGTGGAATATCGAAAGAGATGGTCCTCATATCCACTTTGATGAAGCTGTCGGTGCAGGGCAGGACAAAGAACAAACCTGTACGCAAAATCCATCCAACGCGGTTGACAATGGGTCATTCAGATAAACAACAGTGTCATTACTTTTCCTTTGACATTCTGCACTTTTGATTCCATCTCAAGAATATGCATTAAATGAGGAGATTTGGATAAGACTCACAGATAATTAATTTCCTGTGCCACGTGCTCTAGGTGTCCCTGCGTATGCAGGGGGGTTGGACTAGATGATCTCTAGAGGTCCCTTCCAACCCTAAGCATTCTATGATTCTATAATTAGTTTACTGTCTCTTTTGTGTAAAGTAACAGTACCTTCTCATTAGCAGTTGCAAAATTCTTCAGAAATCCATTCACTAGTCTAAATATAATGTCTTTACATTGCTATTATTTTGTGAATCACTTACAACAAATATTAAGAATGCAACACAGGACCTACCTGGTCCCTTTGCTCCTCCTTTTAAGATGCGTCCAAGTCTGAAGATGATGGCTCGTTCGTATTCCTTTATAATCTGTAATAAAGGTTAGATATTATGCAGGGGTTTTCATAAGCCCAGAAGCCCTATTATGGATTCCAAACTACCTATAAAATCATATAAAATGCAACATGCATTACATTTCATTTCTACACCGGATGCTTTTGAGAATTTTAGCCTAAACTTTATCATCAAAAGCAAACAACAAAAGGAACAATAATGAGAATTTTCCCAAAGAAATATTCCTTGGGCTGAGGCACCATATATCAAGAGCAGAAGCAGCAACAGCTCCACCTTGGCAGGACCGATCACTAAAAACAGCCACCAGGAATGTCCTGGCAGCTAGATGACAAATTGCACGGGGACAAGATCCAGCTCTAATTCTGATGGGCTCTATTAGCCAAAACAAAGCAAGAATTATTTCCCCCATTCTGGAAACTGGAAAATATCAAGTTCAAGCTTTATTATAGATGACACATTCTTCTTCTAGGAATCTGTCCTGAATACATACACACACTTACGTATTTATATTATTTTCCTTATGTTCTCCCTAAAAATCAGTCTTCCAAGTACTCCTTTCAAACTAGCTTATATACTTATAAAAACTGTGTAGCAGTAAAGATTACTAAGATGTTGGTGATTGCTATATACTGTCTGCTACAGACCAAGAAAGAATAGTTTTTGAGGGTTTTTTTTTCCCTTTTTCTTTCTTAAGATAGTGAACAGTAACAAACACTAAGAAAATCCTCCATTGTTTAAAGTTTTAGTCCAACTTTCCAGTGAACAGTTACCTTTATGCACATCCAGATTGATACGGGAAATGTAATAACAGTGAAGAAAAGTGAAACAACCACCAGGATCCATCCACACAAACCAAGGCCAGTATTAGACTCATCTGGAAGCAAAAAACAGAAATCAAGCTTTTAAAACCAAGCATGCCTGTTAGAAAAAGCAACTACATCGGTCTATTTAAGTTGAATAACCGTTGAAATGCATCCTTTTTAGGACTACTACACTGGCCAGACTCACTAAGTTAGTTCAAAAGTCAAATTACAAGCCAACACACACAGTAGCTTGAATTTCATAAAGTTATTCAATACTTTCGAAGGCATTACTTCCGTAATTTGTATCCTTCGTTATAATAACCGCCAAGGACATGTCACACGATCGCATTTTGAAGTTTCTCTATGGAAAGTTAACTCAGGATATTGCTCCATAAAGTTATTGCTGCATAATGAAAAAACCGAATAGCCAGACCTGCTGTGGAAGTCGAGGAAATGTAACCTCTGCATATACCGGTATTAAGCAACTGGCAGCATTAGGCAACACCTGTAAACTCATTACTGACGGGAACGTATTCTTTTCATTTTGCAAGTTATTAGTCCACCTAATATGAAAAGTATTCACAATCTACACAGATAAGGAAGAAAAGCCTCTTCCTCTCTTTCACTATCTTTTGTAAAACTAAAGGAGTTAAAGATCTACTCTATGATTTAACAACAAGGCTTCAACACCACCAAATTCTCCACTCTTAGCAGAGCTATAGCATTAAAGAAAATATTATTCATACATTTGATTCCCTGATGAACACGAAGTGGAAGTTAAAACTCAAAAAAAGTTCAAAAAATGTAAATTTTCAAATTTTCAAATAAATGCACACTTTCAGCAGCAACAGCCCTCCCACTAAACATAATGCACAGTGCAAGAAATGCTAGAGATGCTTGTCCATAAAATCACACGTGGAACACAAGCAGCATGCTGAGCTGTACAAAACGAGCTTTTCCATTTCCAACATCTCATCCCACAGCATTTCAGTCACTTCTGTAACAACTGACAGTCTGTCAGGCTTCTTGGGCAGGTTCATCGATACGTAACCCTAAATAACATCTACTTGGACAGCTCTCAAGTGAGACTTGCAAATAAATGTGGACGGGGCAGGGGCAACCCAGCGCCTCATGTGGGCTACGCAGATCCCGGACACCCGGCGTTCACCCAGCGCTTCAGCGCTGGCAACTGCGGCCTCCTCCCAGCTCTGTAACCTCTCATATTTCATATTGTGCATTTTTTAAAGAGAGGAAAAATGCAGGATCTTAGGGTCATGCTCTGCTAAAACCAAAGAGATGTTCCCTCCAATAAATTCCCAAACAACTAGGGAGCAATGAACTTGCAGCATATTTTGTGATCCAGAGGGAGCGCATGAGTGAAAAGGCCCGCCCTGATTTCTTGGCCTCTCATCTTGTTCAAGATGAGCTCAAGAGAGCTAGAATGAAAATAAGAAAAACTGCTTTTGTAGCCAAAGACTCTAGAGAACTGGGCTTCGCTTCTCCATGCAACTGTTCCAATTATTAAACCCAGAAAGGGGAAATGCCATTTACCCCTCCCAAGGAGGAAAAGAAACAAACAAACAAAAAAACTTGAAAAGCCTCATTTATGTAACAGATGTATGATCATTAATATTTAAATATATATTAGTAGTTATTGTTAATATACTGTAATGCATGCAGCTGCTAAAGAAAAAAAAACACAAGAAAAGACAAAAGATAATGGCTTCAAAAGAAACACCATCAAAAACACAGATGATGATACAACTATGCAGATCTCACCCTTCCTTAGTTAAATAAAAGTCAAAATAAGGGCAAAGATTCACCAACATTCCCATATTGACATTCAATGCTCCAGAAATGGTCATTTGTTTTAGATTTACATACAATGTTTAGTTTCCTTAAGATGAATACAAATGTTTAATAACTTCTTTTAAGCTATTTTAGCTATTGAGGACAGATAAGTTTTCAAAGCAACTAGTAACTTCTCAACTGGTAATCTCTAGCTTGATTTTGCAAGTGCTAAACACTGTCCTACACTTCAAAAGCTTAAATCCACATCCACACTGCACTTTTCTCACCCTCCAGCAATGTTCTTGCTTTTTGCTATTGACACATTTGTAACTCATACCTGGAACTTAATCAGAGAAACTTTATATGGGGAGAGTCTGCAATAAATTCTGCCTGTCTTTAAGAAATAAGCCACAAGGAGAGAGCAAATATCAAAAACATTTTAATTGAATTAGCTTTGGACATCTTTAAGGCTGACGGGAATACTTGCCACTGCTTTAGTGAGAAATTATCACTTGGCTCGTTCAACAATATCAATAATTTATAACACACACCTAGAGCTGGGGGCTGTGGTGAAATAGGAAATTATCTTGTTATTGCTGGAGGTGCGACACTGGAGTCTTGTCTTTCCCGGGCTAGATTGGGCAATCTGAACAAACCTTTCCGTGGCCATAGCAAGCGCGGGCTCCTCCTGGGTGCTGCAGTGGGCGAGAGCCGCCCCTCAGCACCACGCACAGCCCAGGACACACTTAAAACCAAACCCGTGTGGGAGATGAGGCTGGACTGAGCACGGGCAGGAGCCTCCACTTTCACACGCTACCTCCAATCCAGGGCGGCCAGAGTGTGATCCAATTATACGACCGTATTCAAGTGTTTGCTGATTAGCACAGACCACTACTTTTGACAAGAACACAATGTTTCTTCAGAGTATCTCAGAGCATTTCACGTGGGAGAGGTCCAGAGTTATCATGTCTGATTAATCAAATTATCATGTCTAATGCCTGTTAGAGTGTAGATACTTTATTATGACAAGAATAATTGCCAAGCAGCTTTAGCTGCCAAAACAGCATAAACCACACAGAAAAGGCTACCGGAAAGCAGGCTCAGTAGAACATAAATTGGAAAGCTTGCAGAGGCACAGGGGAGGAGGCCAGGATCACAGAGACCTCTGCTAGTTATTAATAACCAAAATACTTAGAGAATGAAATGTGGGTCCTTTCCCACTCCAGGCATGTGCCATTAGGCACGAGGCCCGAACAGATCTACTGATATTTATACACCTCGGGTTACCCTTTGCAGATAACGCTGCCTTGCGCACACGCTTCCTTCACCAGGGGCAACAGCCAACACGCGAAACAAAGCGCCGCTCGGCTGTAACCTGTTGCTGGACATCACACAACAGAAAAGCGCTGCAGCTTCAAGCGCTGACCAAAGCCGAAACCGTTAGTGACCTTTTTTCAGGGCACTTCTGCAAACCTTGCCCGAGGCTGCATTAGCATCTATTAACCCCAGAGCCAACAGACCCTGCGGTAACTTCTGCCTAGTGCGGGGGAAACTGCTACGGCCGCGGGTCCAAGCGAACTGCGGCCTCCCGGCCCGAGCGCAGCAGCTGCCCCTGCGGCCGCTCCGAGACGGGCTCCATCGGCGTCAACAACCGCCCTCCGGCTCCTCCCGCTCCCGACGACGCTCCTAGTTATTTGTTTATCGTAGTGACCCTGCCCTGCAGGGAGAACGAAACCAAACTGAAAGAAAATCCCAGAGTTGCACAAGCGCGGCCAGCTCCCGGGCCGCTCTCGCCCGTTCTTTCCCTGCTGGGGTTGAACAGGAGCCCGCGGCGCTGCGAGGCAGGCGCGGAAAGTTGCGCGTTTCCAACCACCTGTGCGCGCCGCGGCCCGCGCTCCCCGGGCCCCGCCGCGATCGAGCTGCTCGCGGGGCCCTCCGGGGCGGCGAGACGGAGGCGCTGCCCGCC